GCGCGGCCGGGAAGGCGCAGCTCGCACGGAGCCTGCGGGTGCACAGCAGCCCGGGCCGTAGGAACGCGCCGCCTCCGGCCCAGCCCGCAGCCCGCGCTGCCGCCCCGATTTGCAGGTGGCAGGAGCGGCGCAGCAAAATTGCTTCTGGAGGGCCGGGGTCACGGGAGGCCCGAGCGAGGGCGGCTGCCGTTCGCACAGTCGCCTCTTGGCCGCAGGGTCCGCGACAGACCTCGGCCCTCCTTTCCGAGGCAGCCGACGCGCTCTCGCCTGCCGCCGGCCCCTGCGCCGAGGTGCCCCTGAAAAAGGGAGGCCAAAGCAGGCGCCCGCCCGGGACGCGCCCGGAGCTCTCCGTTTCTGCTGGTGGCTTCTGAAATTGTCTTCCCTCGCTCCCCCCAAGGAGATTGACATGTCTGAGGCCAGCGTTGGTACCACTTTCTGTTCCGTGGAGTCCCAAGGCCAGGTGCCTTCCGTGAACCGCGGGAGGGGCATAGATTGGGCACGCGGAAACCCGCACCTTGGCACATGCTGTTTTCTGTGTTGAGCGCCCTCGCCCTTGCTGAAAGTTCCTGCTCATTTTGCAAAACCCTCCTTGGGAGCACTGACCGGCTCCCGGCTCTTCGCCCAGGCTCCCCACACGAGGCTACACCAGGAACCGTCCCTCCGGCTGCACGCCCCAGGCACCGTTCGTGTGCCTCCCCCAGCCTGTGGCCTGTTGCGTTTGAGCGTCTTTCTCATGTCCGAAGCTCCTGCCTGGCACAGGCCTGGCTCCTGATTAATAAACTGGATTCTCGGTAAGAAGGTTCTGACGGTCCAGTTTGTGACCACTGAGGGCTGGACCAGGCTTTCTAGGTCAGTAGCTGCCTGGAGAAGAGCAGATGGCCAAGGTCAGACAGGAGGCTGGAGAACCCCAGGCCTCGCCCATCCACACATCAGGGTCCCCAGCATCATTTTACCCCAGGGAGGAGCTGGGATGCCTGGAAGGGGCACATTCGCCTTCTTGGGATCAGGGCACACTCCGGAGACTGGGGCACCTCCACTGCCCAGGGCGCCTCCCTCCCTTTCCCTGTCCGTCAAGCCTTTTCTGGCATGGGAGGACTGGGGGAAGGGGGAACGGGCAAGTCAGACGGGCAGTATTTGAGGGCCCTGTCATTGTCACTGAACTTGGTTCCCCGTCTATGTAAAATGAAGAGAGAATCAGGAAGGGGAACGGGCAAGTCAGACGGGCAGTATTTGAGGGCCCTGTCATTGTCACTGAACTTGGTTACCCGTCTATGTAAAATGAAGAGAATCAGGAGACACACTTGGCAGGGCTACTTTAAGGACCAAATAAGACAGGTCAAGAGCCTGGCCCACCACCTGGTAGGTTAAATAGATGCAGACGTCCGATACTCCTGAGATGTTTTCCTGTCCCCATCCAGCCCCAGCACCCCCCATTTCCACTTCCTCCCAGCTGGGAAGGAAAGTCATCCCTGCCATACAGAGAACAGAGGTGCCTTTTGCCCCTAGAAGCTTTTTTCAATGTGAAATTTCTTGTTTTGTGACCTCAAGGCCAGGTACAAGAGCTGCACTTGTAGTTTCCTGCTATGGGCCTGTTTCTACACTTTGGGGGGCCCTAGGTTGGTCTCTGGGATGTCCCAGCACCCTCTTCACAGCCTGAAGCCGAGCTCTTGTCCCACTGGCCCCTCTGCACACCTGCTGGGGCCGCCTCACTCCTCCGTCCCGTCCCCAGGTGGGCCCCTCCTCGCCCCACCTCCAGGGCTGTAATGAAGAGGGGTTTTAACTGGCGCCTGCGGCCAAGGCTGCCAGGAGGACACACCCCCGTCCGCTCCACAGGATTGCTTCCCCACAGCCCCGCTGCCTCTTCCTCAAGCCACGTGCCTCCCTCACTGTCCTCCTTGCCTGACAGCTGCCCATGACACATTTAAATCCAGTTCTGCTGAAGGCTGTTTTCTTTTTTATGCTGCTGGCTCCCCAGCAAATTCTAAAGCAGCCCCGAGCTGCCTGCTGTACTCCTCAGTGGCACCGAGTCTCGGCCCCTTAGCTCCATTCTCTCCTGATCATCGGCTTGCCCAGGGCTCTCTTCCAACCAAAGGCCTGTCTCTGGAGGCTTCTGCAGCCACACTGGCTATAACCCTGACCCAGGGCCTCCCAGCCTTCCCCTGTGGCATGCCCGCGCCCCTCCCGCCCCCTCCCATCCCGGCCCTTGGCAGTAAAGGTTGAGTGAGTATCCAGCCTAGAATCTAGCAACTCAGAGTGGGAGACACTTCAGCGCTGATTTTTAATAATTTAAGACTGACACATGGCCATCCACTCCTGAAGAGTCCCAACCTTCTGGGCAATGTTCAGGCCCATCCTCTGCTCCCCCCGGCCTCCCTGCTGCCCACCTGCCCACCCACAGCTGCTGCCAGGGAGGTCTGGGCACAGCGTGTGCTGGGGGACAGTCGGGCACAGGCTGCAGCCCTGTCTCCAAGCTGGACAGGAGAATTGAGCTGGAGGCCAGCCTCCAGCTGGCAGAGGCAGAGGGCAGGGTGGTGGGGGGGCTGGGCTGGCCAGTCCCACTGGCTAGATCCTGGCTACCCCAGCTGCACTTCCCTGAAATTGGACTTGACTTCATTTTTTTCCCTTCGACTTTCTGTATCATAAAAATTTCCTAGAAATTCTTTATAAAATTCTGGCTACCAGATAATATCTCCCAGATGTTTTCACACCCAAAAGGGCATAAAACTTGTCAGCCCACACATCCCAATTTTTGCTTTGGAACATATGGTCAATGGCTGTAAGGCTATTACTCCAGGACACTACTCATTCCTCAAAGAAGAGCAAAGGTGGCGAATAGGAGCAGGGAGGAACGTGACTGAAAAAGGGAAGGGCTCAAAGCCAACATGGCCAAGCACTTTCTAGATTTCTGGGGTGCTGGAGGTGAGGGGAGCCTTTGGAAGGGAGAGGGACCTGGAGGTGAGGCCCACTGACCTCCCTGCCAACAAAGGAGCAAGTGGATGTTGACACCACCAGGAACAAAGGAGACCCCGAGTTTCTCTCCCCAGTTCTGCATAAATTAGTGGCTTAAACAATATACACATACAGTCTGCTTGCACTCCCTTGAGTAGCCAATCATAGAAGCCCTGCCATAGCCCGAGGGGTTAGATGCCACCACGATCTGGGTTTTTGGTGGACAAAGCAGCTTTGTGCAGAGCATTCCCAGCCAACCCCCCCGGGGCAGTTTAGGGCTTCCAAAGGTGTGACAGTACAGGCAACCACACTTCTGGGTCACCGTGGGACAGGCCTCTGCCTCAGGACACGGATTGACAAGCTCTCCGAGTGAGCCAGGAGCTCCTTAATGTGTGCCAAGCCCAGCCTTGCAACCTTGGCCCCATTCACCTCGAGGATCTCGTCCCCCACCCCCAGCAGCCCCGAGTACAGTTTGGCCGTGCTCAAGTCCACCATCTCCTGCACGTAGAATCCTGCAAAGGAAAACAGGAGAATTGACCAAATGAAACCCAAATGGAAGACATGCATCTCTGAGGAAAGCTGAAGAGCTGGTGCTGTTTGTGCTGGAGGGGGAGCAGGTGCTCACCTAGGGCACTTCTCCATACCCCGCACGGCTCCCCTCAGCCACAGCAGGCTTCACGCATGGACATCGTGCACCTCCTCCATGGTGTAACGTCGTCTCTCCCTCTCCTCTTGTAAGGTGGAAATACCCCTAGTGCAAATGACGCTTTAAGCTGTCGTCATTCATTTATACTCCAGTGTGAGTGAGCTAATCTCACCTTTTTCTGAGAGGAGCTCTTATTTTAGAATAGTGAAGAAAATAATTTTTAAAAATTAAGAAAAGTACCTACTAGATACCTGGCACTGTGCTAGGTGGGATTCATAAATACCACCCAGTTGCTGCCCTCACATAGTCTAGGCCTAGCATAAAGGCATGGTGATGGGAGAGTGGTCAAGGCCAATCCTAGCCTGCTTTGCTTCACAGCACTGTCTAGGCCCAGCCCTGGCCTCAGTCGTCCTCAGATGTGGCTACTGACTTGGGATTTGGAGGCTCATTCTCCTCTTCACCACCTCCCCACATCCCCACATCCCCCCATCATCCTGAAAAGGCCCTGCCTGGCCAGTGTGATCATTCCCTGGGTCTGGAAGGTACCAAGGGCAGGCCTGGGGGAAGCTGCTTCTCTGCTTCCTTCCAGGGTCCAGCTCTGGGGAGCCCACATCTGTGGGGCGGGTGCTGGCTGGGCTGCCTTCCCCTGGCTTTTCCAGGCCATGCAGCTCAGAGTCCAGCTGAGGGAGCCCTGCTCACCTCAACTATAGCTGGGAACCTTCCAAAGTCCCCTTCAGCTGCTCCCATCTGAGAGATTAAATGAGGCACAGGCTCCTGTGGAGAGAGCTGGAGCCTCACTGCCCACACGCCGTGCTGGGTGAACACAGGGGTCTGAGCTCGCTGGAGGGCTGCGGGCTGGGTTTGCACCTCGTGCAGCTGACAGCGCCGGTGGGATTCACTGGCCGCTTAGCACAGCCTTGAACAACCTCACTGCTCCCCAGCCCGGGCTAAGCAACTGCCCACACGTTACTGTCATCACTTCCTTTTCCTAGAATTCCTATTAAGGATCTTGTCTGGTTCCTCAGTCTCTGGCTTGAAACCATTTACCACGTCGTGGACTAGTGGGAAGTCCTCTCTCTGGTCCACCCAGCCCCGTAAGAGCTCTGTGCAGCCCAGCTTCTGGTTTTTTAGAGCCCACCCTCTGAAATTTGGGGTTGAGCGTGCATTGATATCTCTTCCTCCTTCACCGAAGCACTGAAGGTTTATAGCTCTGAGTTTAGCAAATCCAATCTTTGTACACATTCTCTGTCCCTTTCATTGCTTCTTGGTCCTTTGCTGCAAGGCTCAGTCTCTCCCTGCCAAGATCCATCCTTCATCTTGGCCACCCAAGGCTTTTTCTCTCAGCCCTTGCCCTACCTTTTACCTTCTCTATCTGGTATTTTAGCCATGTGCCTGACCTGCCTGTCTATGTGTTGGTGGCATGAGGAGAGGACAGGTAAGGAGGGGCCCTGGGATGAGATGTCGAATGTACAGCAGGAGATGCAGATGGGGATAAAATGATAAAACCCAAAGAATGCAGCCAGAGCTAGACCAGACACTGACATCACTCTAGCCATTTTGGGGGAGATTCTCGGGTAGGTTTTGCAACTGAAAATCACAACAAGATATGACAGAGAGATTGCTATTGTCGGCATTTATTGTCTGCTGGAAATGGCCCTCGTTAAGGATGTGTGATATCAGTGTTGTATCCAATTAGAAGCAGCAGGCAAAGCCTACTTTCTCACAGGCTTGTATAAAATCTGATCGGGCAGCCAGCAATTTAATAGCGGCAGCCTGACATTTTAGCAAGGGGCGCAAACCAGGCCCAGGAGAAGCAACCCTTGGATGCTGAAGGATGGCCCGTGGCAAGGAGGCACCTGCACCAGCCACACTTCGTGTGCGCGGGGATCCCTGCGGCCAGCGGTAGCAGCAGGAGCAGGGCACCACCTGGCGGGGCAGGGAAGAGCTCGCACTGGGCCAGGTGAGGGGTACCTGGGGAGCCCTTGGTCATGAGAGACCCCTGCCCATCAGCACTGCATGACAGGTGACAAGGAGAGGCTCCCGCTGCCTACAAAGAGGCCAAAAGGGACTTGTGGGGAGGCTGAGGGCACATTACAATGCCCTGTTGTGTATGATCTCACACCAACAGATAAATATAGGTCACACTGGTCCCCGTCTGGGGCTCTGTTCCCCAAATATACCTTCTCTTCATGAAGAAGGAAGGGAAGAAAAGCACTAGGCACTCTTCTGTGTACCTTACTGAATGCTCCTTATGACTCTTCCAGATAGGTTTTATTATCCTCATCCCACAGATTAGGGAACTGAGGCTCAGAGATGGTAAGTCCCCTCACACAGCCAGCAGAGGTGGTGGGATGCAAACGTGCCATGTTGGCTAACTCCCTGACTTCACGTGGCCTGTCTGGGAGGGCCTGTCTCCCCTCCTCTAACGGGAGGGGAGGCTGCCGGGGAAGGCAGAGTGGCTGACAGCCCGTGGAGTGCTTCACGATGATCAGTCTATGTTCACTAATATCTCCCCACGAGGACAGGCATTGCACCCTCCTGAGGTCCAGAGTGGGGAGAGACCTGTCCTCTCTTCTTCTCATGCTCATGTTCAGTCCGTCTGCAAACTCAGTCAAAGCTACCTTCGCATCAACCAGGATCCAACCTGTTCTCACCATCTCCATGGCCACCCCTAGTTCAAGTCACCATTGTGTCTCTCCTGGATTACTAAGATAGCTCTCAAACTGGCCTCTGAGTCCACCTTTGTCCTCCCAGGGGCTATTCTCAATGCAGCAGCCAGTGGCCCTGTTACAAGTGTAAATCGGAGCATGCCAGTCCTCTGCTGTCAGCCCTCCCATGCTGCCATCTCGCTCACGTGAAAGCTGAAGCCCCTTCCAATGGCATGGCTCTGCCGCCTTTCTGAGCTTAGCTCCTCCCTCCCCCTCGCCACTCCACGATGTCCAGCCTGACCTCCTTGCAGTTCCGACCATAAGCCAAGCTCCTCCCCTCCTCCCTTGACCCCAGGGCCTTTGCACCTGCTGTTCACTCTGCCTGGATGCCCTTCCCCCAGACACCCACATGGCTCCTTCCTTACTCCATCCATATCTCTGCTCAAGTGTCATCTCAGAAAAGCTGCCCCACCCTCCTGTCTACACTAGTGTCTGCACACCTGCTTCATCTGTGTTTCTGTCTTAGTACTTTTCTCTATCTGACATATATAACACATAATGTAGAAAAGAGTGAAATTTTGTAGATTTAGTCTAGCTCCCTCACTGGAATGTATATTCATAAGGATGGGGATTTTGTCTGTGCCATTTACTGCCATATCCCCAGTATCTATAACACACAGTAGGTGCTCAATATATATCTGCTGAAACTACGAATGATGGTACAGATGCAAAAACTCATGTCTGCAAATTTGGTAGCAGGCAGATCTTTTTCCAGGCTAAACAACTTTGACCTGGGAGATCAAAGCATGAGACTAATCCCTCCTCAGCAGAGCCCAGCGCAGCAGGTTTCTGAGTGTGTCTGTGTCTGTCCCTCCCTTTCTCTCTGCTTCCTTCCTCTCTCCTCCTTCCCCACCCCCAGCATACCTGTCTTCCTTCCCTACTCATCTTATCCAGGTGCCTCGCCCTGACGTGCATTCTAGACCACAGACCTTGGGGAAAGGCCTGGGCAAGTTCCATTGCCCTGAAAGCCTGAGAGCTGGGCAGAGAGCTGGGCAGAGCTCATCACTACCCTTGCCAGTGTTAAATCAAGACTCAGCGGGCGACCCAGCCAGGGGTCTGGGGCCAAGATCCATCTGATCATCACCCTCAAAAGCCAGCCTCGAGGAAGAGGCGTGGAGGGAGGCACAGACAGGCAGACACTCTCCACATGCCCAGACATAGGCAGCAGCTGGAGGAAGGGAACTATTTAAATACATCAGCTATATCAAAGGGGCCGCTGAGAACCGGCAAGCACAGACAATTTCCTTCTGGCTCTCCTCTGAAAAGATGGCCTTCAAGATTCTGATCTCATGTCATCAGACAGAAGGGGCAATGGAGTAAGTCCGCCAGCTCTCCCCCTCCAGCAAGCCCACGCCCTCCCGCAGCCGCTGGTGCCCAGGGCAAAGGCGCTGCAGGTGCAGACTCCTAGGGGCCCTTGACAATCTGAAGGCCCCCCTGAGGGGAGAGATCTAGTCCTTTAGTTGAGAGGCTTTCTGAATTCATAGAGCTCCACAGCTCAGCCAAGGAACAGAAAAAGCCTCTGACCACAGCAGCAAAGCACTGCTTGTGGTTTTCTAAGGCCCCCAGGGCTGTGGGGCCTAGGAAGGGGAAGGGGCCTACCTGAGTCCCTGCGCCCATTCCCAGAGGCCACACAGAAGCCGAAAGTGCCCTCTGGGAGGCGCTGCAGCTGCAGCTGGCTGGTGCCGTCTGGGAACACCTCCACCACGCGGCCCACTGCGCGGGCCAGGCTGGGGGCCCCCACGTCCTCCACACTGAGGGCACGCCGGGGTGGGGCCTTGGCTGGCCTGCAAGGGGACCAGAGACACAGTGAGGGCAGAGAGGGATGGCACTGGGGCCCAGCCTTTCCCTGCTTAACGATGACTGATGCTTCTCGGACTGAAGAGTCTGGTGCTGGAAGTTGAGGTCCACTGACCTCAACCCGCAGAAAGAACCTACCAGGGCCAAGACTGGCCAGTTCCCACAGCTGTCCTGGGCTCCTCAGAGCCTGCTGCAGAACCAGAAAGCTCCTCACCCCTGGTGCAGTGATTTCCAAATTTGATGGGTACAGAGACCTCTGTGAGAATCTGATAAAAGCCATAATTTTATATAAAATTTCCAATAGTTAATGGACCCCCTGAAGTCCATCCATAGAGCCCCTGGTCAGAATAGCCCTAGAGGTCCTCCTCAAAGAGGGAGGTATTTCCCCAGGCAGGTCTCAGGTCAAGGCCTCTTTGGGGGTCTCTGTCTCTGGGTGTTTAATTGGATCTTCAGCTGTGCTAAGGAAACTGAGCATTCTCATTTCAAGATGTCATCAGAGAGCAGAAGGACAGAGGACTCAAACCTGCCAACTACCCCTCCAGCAACCCCACGCCTTTTCTGAGGTGGACCACACAAGGCAAGTGCACCTTGTGTCTCCAAACATAAGCCTTGCCGAGGGGGAGGCACCGGGAGCCTGCCTGCCTTTCTCTTCAAGGGACCCAGCTCAGGGCCATGATGCTGAGGCAGGAAGGAGTTAAGCATATGGCTTCACTGGCCATTCTCTGAGCTCAACCTCGAAACCATTTGTGCCACTCTTACCTGCCAGCTGCACTGTGGTCCCCTGGCCCTCCTACCAGGTAGAGGTTGGACCGGTCCCCCTTGCCACTCAGCAGAGAATGGAGGTTCTGAAAGGAGGCAGCTTTCCGATGAGAGGGTGTGACCTAGTGCAATGTAAGACTGCAGGTGAGAAAAGCTACCGGGGAAGTGGCTAACAGAAGACTTGGCCCCCACCATGAACGTAAGGGCCCTCTAAGAAAGCGTAAGCTTGTCTCATTACCTGCAAATGCTCAACAGTAATCACCAGAACTTACTCAAGGAGATGGGCCTACACAGGCCATCTGAAGCTTCAAGGCTTGTTATTTTTCAATTTTAGCGAAGTAACAACTTAGTACTATAATACTAATTATCTTATTGATTAAGAAAATCGAATTTTCTCACTGATTAAGAAAAAAGTGAAAGCAAATTAACTTTAGAATAATAAATACAGTTTTAGGGTTAAAATCTTAAGTATTATTTGTGATTCTTTAGCATCCCTTTTATGATTGCTTCCATTCAAAACTTTTTATCTAAGTATGTACCTGAAGACATTGTGCAATTGTGCATAATAAGACGGACAGGACAAAGATGGCTCAAGGAGTGCACAAAACAATGGGGGCAGAGATGAGCACAGATGGGTTAAAAGCTCTAGGTGCACATTGTGGTGCCAGGTTAGAAGTACAGATGACATACAGGGAACCAGAGAGAGGGACTTTGGCTTAGGAGGTCTAGGGACACTGGAGGAGCTGACACATGAGGGAGACTTGAAGCAAGAGCTGTCCAGGAGAAGAGAGAGGTGAGAGCGCTCCAGGCAGAAGGAAAATGTGCAAAAGCACGGAGAGATGGGCGAGTCTGGCTGGAACACACACATGGTCTGGGAGGGGAGGCAGCAGAAGTTGTGGGAGACAGGCCAGAACCAGGGCTAGACCTGGAAGGTCCTCAGTGCCCTTCACAGGAGCTACTGAGTGATGTTAGTAAGAGTGACAAGATTGGATCTGTGTTCTAGAAAAGGACCCAATGAGGAGGCAATTCTGAAGGTGGGGGGTAGGCTGGTGGAGACAGAGGCAAGGAGGAGCAAACTTTTAAAAAACACGACACCTGTTATTTATTACATTTGGAATCCGTGTTGCTGTGCTCTGAATGTCTGTGTCCCCCCAGAACTCACATGTTGAAGCCTAATCACCAAGGAGGTGGGGCCTTTGGGAGGTGATTAGGTCATGAGGGTGGAGCCCTCTTGTTTGGGATTAGTGTCCTTACAAAAGAGGCCCCAGAGAGATCCTTTGCCTCTTCTACAAGGCGAGGTGACAGTGCAAAGAAAGCTGCTGGGGCCCGTGTCCTTCCGGCAGGTGAGTTCGGAGCTGGCAGGGGCAGGGCTCTGGGGCCACCCTCTGGTGTCAGGCCCCAGGGACCTTGGATGGTGCCAGGATGGTGAAAGAGAAGGTCTCAACTTCTGAGCACTCCCCAAGCAACCCTGGGCTAAGCCAGGGCTTGAAAAGCTCATTCAAGAAAAACAAGAAGTTCTGGAAAAACAAAGCACGAGAAGTAAGCAAGAAACCAGGAAGTAACCTTGGCGTTGTCATGGTGAGACCTTCAAAGGCACCACAAGACTTTTCTCAAAACTGGAAGGCACTGCAAGAGCTGCTGAAACAAAAGTCACAGGCCCCAGAAAAGCCTCTCGTTATGTGTCAGATGGGCTCCAGAAAGCAGCCTGAAATTACCCAGCAAAACAGAGAAGAGGTCTCAGATACAGCAGAGGGAGACGAGATTCCAGCAGAAAAAGCCCAAGAGGCCACCTTCAGGATCTAAGACAAAGAGGGTGCCAGCACCTCACACAAAGGCCAGCAGAGCAGTGCACAATGAGAAAGGAGCCAGGAAAAGGACAAGTGGTGACATTTTTAAGAAACGAGGGGACATTAAGCATAAGAAGCAGAAAGCTAAGGAGCCAGCTGCGGCCCTGCCCAGCAGGAAAGACATGGGGTGTGATGATGTTGACCCAGCAGATATCGAAGCTACCACAGGCCCAGAGGCAGCCAAGATGGCAAGAAAACAGCTGGGTCAGGTGAAAGCAGCATCGCCCTGGTGAAATGCGAGCCTGCAGCAGGTGGACAAAAGCCCTGGCCGTGGAGCAGGAGACGGCGGGTGTGGCCCTGGGGAGGAGCATTGCCACCCGTGCCCACTGCAAACAGGATGGGAAGTGCACGTGTGACAAGTGTGTCAAGCCAAATGAATCCCTGATGGGCCACAGGACAGTACTCAGTGGGAAACCCAAGAGCCTCCAGCAGGAAGAACAACATGAATTTGTTCAGAAGAAAGTGGCAGAAACACTGAAGGGTGGAATTCTAGTTGGACATGCGCTGCATAAGGACTTAAAGGTACTGTTTCTCGATCATCCAAAAAAGAAGATTGGGGACACATGGAAATATAAACCTTTCGAGAGTCAAGTGAAGAGTGGAAGCTACTGTCTCTGAAGCTTTCAAAGAAAATCCTGGGGATCAGGGTCCAGCAGGTGGAGCACTGTTCGATTCAAGGTGCCCAGGCAGCAGAGAAACTCTCCCTCCCAGTGCAGAAGAGGTGGGAGGGCGTGGCCAGAGACAGGTGCCCCCATGTGACTGCTCCACACCACCGCTGCTGGTGCTGCCCCGTCCCACTGTCTTGTGGTCCAAAGGCAGTTGAGATCAAAGCATGGGGACAGATCAAGTCTCCCCAAAGTGGCAATTCTGGAAAAACATCTTGTGGTCCAAAGGCAGTTGAGATCAAAGCATGGGGACAGATCAAGTCTCCCCAAAGTGGTGATTCTGGAAAAACATTTTCTTTTTTTTTTTCCTTTTTGTCTTTTTTTGTGACCGGCAACGGATCGCAACCTTCAGTGTCACGCCCGTACCGGACCGGGACCAGCAACGGGATCGCAACCCTTGGTGTTGTGCTCGCACCTCGCTCAGCCAGTGAGCGGCCGGTCTGTATGTGGGATCCGAACCCTCAGCGGGAGCGCCGCCGTGCTCCCAAGTGGCGCACTGTAGCAGTGCGCCACCGGCTGGCCCCTGGAAAAACATTTTCTAAATCATGGCAGCAAGGGTGTGGCCTGCATGCTACTGAGAAAAAAAAAAAAAAAGAAAAAGAAAGCTGCCCGTGGCCCTCATTAGACACTGAATCTGCCAGTGCCTTGATCTTGGGCTTCCAGTCTTTAGGACAGTGAGAAATACATTTCTGTGGTTTCTAAGCTACTCGTGTTATGGAATTTTGTTACAGCAGCCCACATGGACCAAGAAGTGCTCTGAAGAGGTAAGGCACAGTGTCAAGAAGATGACGAGAGGGGCCTGACCTTGTATCCAAGCTTGAGAAGGCTTCCTGGGAGAAGTCATGTTTAACTCAGATCTGGAGGGCCTGCAGGAGTTTCCCAGGGAAAGTGGGGAGGGGAGAAGGAAAGAGAGCCTCCCAGGTGCAGGCTCAGAGGCCGGGGGAAGACGTGGGAGGAAGACTGGAGGACGTGGGAGCGGTAGCGTGGTCTGGGGGGAGAGCAGGGCATCTGGAACAGTATCCACCACCCTGTCACCAAGCACACGCTGGGCAGCACAGCATGCTAACAGAAGTGACCTCTCACCCTGAGGTCGGTCATAAATACTTCTGGGTGAGACAGATTCTTTTTATCTTCTTTCTTTCCTTGAAAATTTCCTTTTTCTCAGTTCCTGAAACTTTTTTCCTACTGCTCAGTCCTCTTTGCTTTTTTCCTCCTACCTTTTTTGGCCAGTCTACTTTCTATCTTCACCCACTTGGCTTAAATTGCCAATAAACCTCCCTATTAGAGTAACAGCATTGTTGTTTCCCTTGAGCTGCTCACAGAGACAGACGTTCTGATGGCAACAGATCTGGGTGCCACAGCGCGGACACACATGGACAGATCTAACTTTATGAGAAAAGCAAATTCCTGGAGCACAATGTCACTGCTGCTGCTTTTCTCCCAGCTTCCAATCTCTGCTTCCATGTCTTTGCCTTCTATCTACCCAACTGGCAAATATTTATTGAGCACTAACCACGTACTAGTAACTGTCCTTGGTGAAAGACAAACAGTGGGACTGTCACTCATCCTGCACTGTCTTCCCTACTGCAGGCTGAGATGAAAGGCTCCAATGCTCCAAACCACAGTCTTCTACTTCATTCTGCCCAGGAGAGAAACATACACCTGAAACCTCCCTGGAACGGGACGGGGTTTTCAGCCGCCTGCTTGAGAGTTAGTGTGCTTCTGTTGGTTTGCTAACACTCCAGCACATGGGGAGGGAGAGCTTCAGCTAGCTGCCCTGCACGCTCGCACTCATTCATTCATTCAGTGTGTACTGAATATGGACACTGTAGTAGCCATTGTAAGAAGTATTGGGAACGTAAAGATCAAGTGGTGTTCCCCCAAAGAATGCACTCTCCAGTGAGGGGAAAGACAAAAATCAAGTAAAACACCACAGTGACAAGTTCTTCTGGGAAGGAGGGAGCACAGGGTGAGACGGGGCACATAGCGGAGGCCCCAGCTCAACCCCAAAAACTGTTGGAAATGGCTTCCTGAGGGGGGCATCCCTGAAGTCTTGGAGGATGAGCAGATGTTCGTGCTGGGAAAGGTGGGAGAAACATTTCAGGTGAAGATTCAAAGTCAGACAGTGTGTGATCTGATTATAGAGCTGCAAGGAGGTCAAGTATACCTGGGGTCAAGAGTGCTGAGAGGAGAGTGATGAGAGATGGAGGCAGACAGATCACAGAAACCCTCTGGCAGTGCCAAGTGGCCTGAACTTTATCCTGAGGGTGATAAGGGACCAGTGACAGATATTCAGCAAGGGGGTATGATGGCCAGATTTGCATGTTAGCAGGACCACTCTGGAAGCCACTTGGAGAAAGACCACGGCAGAGAGGCCAGTCAAGAGGCTGTGGAGGTAGGCCAGGTATGAAATGATTAGTGCCTGGACTAAGACAGTCACTGTGGCCATGGAGAAATTTCCAGAATAACCAGGCCATCGATTCTCCAGGACTTAGCAGAGGTGGCTAAGTTAAGGGAGAGGGAGAGGGAGGGGTCTAGGATGAGCCCAGGCTTGGCAGCTGGGTTGAAGAACAGAAGTGTGGGATGCTGCCTACTCACGCGGTGTCCAGGGGAACCCGAGTTTCACAGGTCACCTATGGGGATGCCAGCAGCTTCCCTTTCTCTACTTTGGGCTCCTTGGGAGGCATCCTCAGCACTCCTCTCCTTTCACCTGTCATGCCAATGTGGCTGCACCACCACTGGCCTCACAACCCCTTGGCTGGGGCTCTCAGGACTCACCAGATGTAGGGATTGCAATGACGGGGCTCTGGCGTGGGAAGCCAGGCCAGGCGCAGCAGGCTGCAGCTGCTCCACGCTGTAGCTGCGGGACTTGCCCAGCTTGGGCCGGGCACTCTGGCCCAAGGCTGAGAAGAACTTTTTCAGCCCCAGGGCAGAGGCGATGCTGCTGCTCCTTTTCTTGTTCCTGTCAGAAGGGGCAGCTGAGGGTGGGCCAGGTCCTGCAATGGCCCCTGGTGATGCTCTGCAACACAAGGGTGGACATGAGGTGGGCAGGGGAGGGCCAAGGAGGGAGGCAAGTATAGACTGCACCCTAGAGTCCCATGGTCCCCAGATGGGCCTGCAGCAGTGCCTTTGGCCCATCTGGGGCCAGGGACTGACAACCGGCTGCAGAACGGAAGGCCAAGTGGACTTCTGCTCTGCTTGGGTAGCTTTTAGGGAGGATAGCTCAGGCAAGCCCCCTGCCATAACACGCAGCTATGGGTCCACCCAATCACTCACTCATTCATTCTTTCTTTCAATATTTCTTAAGAACCTACTATTGCCAGCTTCTTTTAGGTCTGGGGTATGTGGTATACAAGACAGACAAGGTCTTTGCTCTCAAGAGCTTATAAACAAAGGAGAAAAGCCATCCGTGACTGGCGTGTAAGGTGAAGTAGAGTGGGGCCAGGCATTTGTTTTAACTAGAGTGGCCAGGGAAGGTCTCTCCGAGACAATGATCTTTAAACTAAGAGCTACATGGCAAGAAGCCAGAGCTGCCAAGCCTGGAGGAGAGTATGCCTGGTGCAGGGCAAGGTGAAGTAGAGTGGGGCCAGGCATTTGTTTTAACTAGAGTGGCCAGGGAAGGTCTCTCCAAGATCTTTAAACTAAGAGCTACATGGCAAGAAGCCAGAGCTGCCAAGCCTGGAGGAGAGTATGCCTGGTGCAGGGCACAGCCGGCACCTCGGCCCCAGGGCAGGAGGAAGCTCTGTGTGTTCAAGCACATAAAGGGGCCAGGCCATTAGGGCTTGCACATAGGTAGGGACAAGGATGAGGTCAGACAGGCAGGCCACCATAGGGGTTTGAATTCTATTCCAAGTGAGAGGAGAAACTTCGTGGGGTTTTAAGCAGGAAAATGACATCATTTAACTTAAGTTTTAAAAAGATGTCCATGACAATTATGTGAAGTTATTGTGGGGCAAGAGTGAAGGCAGGGGGCAAGCAGGGCACTAGAGGTGCACAGCAAGGGAATAACACAGCACGCACCAGGGGAAAGGGCGAGAGGGAGCTCCTGAGTAGGAGGGGACCGACGGGGGTTGGCGGGAGCAGAGCGGGTGAGAAGGAAGAGGGAGCAGCCGCGCTCACACCCAGGTTCAGGCTTCAGCACTGTGTGGACGGCGGTGTGACTGCCAGGAAGGGATGTGGGAGGAGCAGGTGTTGCGTTTTTGTTTGAGGGCCCACCAGACACCCTAGCGGAGATGTCCAGGAGAAACGAGATGCACAGATCTGCAGTTCTAGAGAGCACAGGGGGCTGGAGATGGAGCTGGTTTCGGGTGGCATGTGAGGCCTTGGGCTGGGTGTGGTCACCAGGCACAGTGTGTAGCAGGGACAAGAAGGCCCTGGCCAGAGCACTGGGCACACCAAGGCTTTGAGGTCATGCCAAGGAGGTCCCAGGGCAAGGACTAAGACCCTCAGAACTAGAGGAGAGAGTGAAAATGTGAACGTTGGGCTCAGGTTCCTCAGCATCTGGTTGTTTTCAAGCCCAGAGTCAGAGCAAGTCCTCTCAGACAGGAAGCACCCTGAGGGCAGGGACTGTCAGCTTGCCCCAGTGCCCAGCACAGCGCCTGGAACTTGAGGCTGTCCAGTGGACATTTAGTGAAGGAATAATCAGGTACAGACCGAAAAGAATTGGGAAAGGAGCATTCGGGGTGTCAGGCTTGGACAAAGTCTAGAAACCCTCCCAGGATCTGGGCGCAGGGAGGTCAGTCACGCTACCACTGCACGGGGCCTCCTTCCCCACCCCACATTCCCATTCCCACCCCCACCCTCTCCTGCGGCCAGGGCTCTTGCTCCTGTCACTTACCGGTATGGCGCATGCCCTCCGAAACTCAACTCTGTCCTCTGCAGGCCTCCCTCTGGCTCCTGGCTGGACTCTGGCTCCTCGGAGGCCAGGGAGAGGGTGAAGCCCGTGGAGTTGACAGTGACAATGTCTGCTGAGCCAAGAAAGTCCTGGAGTCCTGCAACAACCACAGCATCTCTCCCGTGTCAGACTGCCCCAGCCCCACAGGTCACAGAAGGGGAAAGCGACATTCCCAACAACAGAGGCAGGAGAGTGAGAGGAAGCTAGAGAGAGGTGGGAGCCCCGGAGAGCAGTGGAGAGACCCCAGAGAGCAGCAGGTGCAGGCAGGGCCACCTCTTAGATAGTCATGGCTGAGGGGGCCTCAGTGAGTGTCCTCCAGACTGGAAACTATTTGAGGACAGGGACTGGGTCTTGCTGACTGCCGTAACCCCAGACAGTAGATTAGTAAAACATGTTCGCTAAATGGTGTTGACTATGGAAGTCATGTCCCTCATATATCAAGGAGCATAACTGGGAGCGGGGGAAAATTTAGTATTCCTGGGATGAAACACAGTCTTGTCAGCGGTGATTTCTAAGAGCTTTAACAACAGCCACCATTTCGGAGCATCTATTACGTGCTAGGCAGTGAGTTAAACCTGCTACAGAGAGGATTCCATGGGTTTCCAGGAGATAGGTCCCATCACTGTCCTCACTTTACAGAGCAGACTGGAGCGCTGAGGGAGTAAGTGACTTGCTCAGGGCCTCCAAGCTAACGAGAGGAGCTTCACGCCACTCTCTGCTCCAGGCCTCAAGGAGGTGAAGCCCGGGCTGCCCAAAATGGCCACCAGGTCTGAGAATAGAAGGCCTGCAGGAAGTGGTTAGGGGCAAGCCAGCAGCCCACCTGGAGCCCACCCCAGGGAAGAGAGCCACGGCTCAGCATGGGGTGAGAGGGACCACAGGGTGAGGCCCATTTCCTCAAGGCTTGTGGGAGCAAGGAAGGGATGGGGAAAGTGTGTCTCCATGTGCAATGGGGGGACTTGGCAGCCCCATCCTCACTAAGGTCATTATGGTCTGTCAACCCTCTGCCCTCTCTTCCTCTACTCTGTTTCCAAGCTCCGGATCCCTCTTGAGCCATCCCAGCCCCAGGGCTATCAGAGCCATGAGCACATTGAAGCAAGAATGTGTGTGGTGAGCCTGTTATCTCTGCCTAAAGTGAGCAGCCGAGCCAGTCACCTGGGATCACAAGGTTGGGGATCAGAGCCTGAGCCTGCTGTCAGCCTGGGTTTGCCCACAACATGAGGACCCCTTCCAAGGGCAGAGAGTACACCCTTCAGCAGCCTTCCTGTTGAGATCTACCAGCTTACCCAGCAGGGCTGGGGTCAGGAGGGCTCAGGTGCCAGAGAACCCCTAGCACACCTGCAGGAGCTCTGCCCCCATCACTGTGCCCTCCAGACAGCTTGTCTGCCTGGCCATGGAAAGCCTCAAGGGCAGGACTCCCACTGAAGTCATTCACTTACGCATTCTCACAGTGCCTGGAATGTAACAGGTGCTCGGTCAATACTGAACAAATGAGTGAGTGAATGAAATGAAATGAAGATGTTGAAGGGGCAGGGCCTCAGCCATGTGATTACTGGACATTTACTGCTCTAAGCACATAGTAAATCCTGGAGCTGCTGCTTCTTCTGCTGTCAGGAGTAAAATTCCCCTATAGCCCAGGCCTCCAGCAGCCACAGAGCTCAGAGCTCTGTACACACCTCAGGGTTCCCAGCAGTAAGAGGGCAGCACCACTGCCTTCCTCCAGTTCTGCCTCCACCAGGGGAAATTGGGTAATCTGCCTCCAGGCTGATGTTAAATCCTGCATCCAGCACACAGACTCCACCAGCTCCCCTGACACTGTCGTTGCCCTGAGTGGCTCTCAAGAGCTGCAGGAAGTGGCTATGTCATCTGACTATTAGGAGAGGTAAGTGAAGACTGAATGCCTGCTGAATCACAGACCTGGCCTGGGCCCCTTCTCTAGGACTGCCCTAGGCCTGGGACTGGGCAAGAACCACTGGCAATCCCTTACCATCTCGGCTGTTCTCTGGGGGCGGCTTGAGCTCCTGGCTGCAGGGGCTCCTCTCCACTCTTCCCTCATGGATAGCTCCTCCCCAGGACTCCTGCAGCCCCTGAGGCATGCTGTTGTTGCAGTTGTTGGTGGACAGGGCCAGCAGTGGGTGTCTGACTTGGGGGCTGCAGGGCTGGGTCTGTGGTGGGGTGAGCTCACAGGTCCTGAGAACCATACTTCCTGAAGGAGGCAGGGAGATGTCCACAGGCTGTCCTCGGTCACCCGTTCTGCAGGGTCCGGCCAAGGCTGCCTTCCTGTGAGACAGAGGTGAGGTGGTTTTCCTAGAAGAGGGAGGGGTTGGCACCCAACCTTCACAGGAGATGGAAGCAGCTGGCTGCTGGGCTTGGTGGGGGGCAGAGGGCTCTGCATGGTTCTGTTGCTGGGAGGAGGTGGAGTCAACTTCCAGAGACTCAGGGCTTTCTATAACCTGGGCTGGTCTGCCTGACCCCGAGGGCCCAAGCTTCGTGGAAGAGGTTGTGGCATAGGCTGTCCTGCACGGAGCCAGGGAATCCACAGGGTGAGCCCAGTGGTTTCCCAAATCTGATCCAGGCTGCCGCTGTGACTTCACAGAAGCCCTCTTAGATTCCAAGGCAGGAGGGTTAGGGACAGTATCTTCTCTCAGAAACAGCGTCCCCTCAGGCGTGTGTCCTCTGCCACCTTTCACCTCATCTCCCACCTCCACATCATCAACCCCAGGCAGGTGATGGGGGGCTGGAAGGCCCCGGGGCAGCTCCACTTCAGCCTTCCTGGGCCACCTGCCGCCTCCTCCAGGCCTGGAGCCCCGCAGTCGGGGGCTGCTGCCTGGGCTCCGGCCGCATGCCCTGCTGGGCTGAGCGGTCCCTGCCTCCTCACTGTCGGTCCTGCAGCTGTCCGATGTGTCGGTGCTGTCCAGGGCGGAGTCCACCTCCTCAGGGCGCGTGGTGTCTCCGATGTGTGTTTCCCGGATCCATTCCGTGTGGGGCCCTGACTCGGCAGGGAGGAGGCGGAGGGGGGAGCTATGGGGCCCCACCAGCAGCCCCCCCATCCCACAGGCAGCTTGGACCTCCTTCCCCTCGGCAGGGTGGCGGTCCTCGATACAGCTGCCACAGGCTCTGCACTTTCTCTCGCCGCCCGCACGGGGCAGCGGCAGCGGGAGGCCCCTGCGGCCCAGGCCACCTGCAGGCCTGTGGAGCACCCCCTGCCCCGCGTCCGGGAGCCGGACGCCCCCGTTGATGTAGTGGGCGAGGTCGGGCTTGGAGCGCAGGGGGCCCTGGCCCGCGGCCGGCAGCGCCGTGCGCAGCCCCTGGCACTGTTGCCGGCGCTGCTGCAGCCGCTCCAGGTAGCGGACCTCGGCTTCGCGGGCTGACTCGTCCTCAAAGCGGACGTGTGACGGGGAGGTGCCCCGCCTCGGCCACTGCCCGCTGCTGGACTCCCCGCTGGAAGAGTCACTCACGTTCCCGTTCTGGGGGCTGTCTCTGCAGGCAAGGATCATCCTGGGGTCCCGGGCTGGGCTCCTCCGCCCGTCTCTGAGGGAGAGAGACGGAGAGAGAGGTCACGGGCTGAAAGATGGGGAGGAAGGTGCAGACCCCTCCCTGGGCACGCACCGGCCCTACGTCCTCCACCCCGGGGTACAGGCTCCCACAGTGCACTGTGGTAACCACAACCCACAAGGTTACCCCAACTCAGGTCCCTGAAGAGTCAGGTGGCAGAACAGAGCGGCTTAGCAGCCCATCGTGATCCTGAGACGCCCACACTAGGCAAAATCAACACGACCTTCTTTACTTTTGGCTTTCCCTGTTGCCTGGCTCAGCCCAAGTTCAGATGAAACATGGTACACTCAAGACTGTAAAGAAGGAAGGGATCAAAGTCCTCATGTGTGGTGTGTGTGTGCTGAGGGAGGGACGTGAGCCTGACCACTGTGCCTTGCTGGTAGTGATGAATTGTGGAAGTATGCATTTGCCATACAGCTCTTATGGGAAGAGGGTATTTTAAGTCTCCACAGAGGCTGTTTGAGACGTGAAGTCAGGGTTTCAAAGCATTCTTGCTCCTAAAGTTTCCACTCAGAGTTCCTAATCACCTTGCTTAGACAAAATCCAAACAAAGCGACCCTGATGTTTCTCCTTGAACCCTGGGTCTTGACTGTCCCCAAACCCCCTCCTTGCAGCTGCCACTCCCCAGCCCCTCACACACTCCCTGCCTGCTTCCAGCTGCAAAGGCATTTCTGTGCTGGGGAGAATCTTCACATCTGTCATCAACTTCGGCTTTGGGAGACCCTGGCTGGTGGTCAAGTTCTTCTCGGCTCCAGAAGACACCCACACAGATCTCACACCAGAGCCCCCAAGCACCAGTTTCTCTCGTTCATTGCTTCTTTATGACACACTGGACCACTGCAGTGGCCTCTTATCCAGCCTCTCTGCCTGTCTGTTGATCCTCCTGGAGCACAGCTTTCATCACCCCACCCCCCAATAGGGCACAGGATCAAGTCCATAGTCTTGGGGTAAAAATACAGGCCCTCCACATTCCTCCCTACTTTCCTCTCCCAGCTCTGTCCCCACCACCCACTCATAGAGCCTACAGCTTCCTGCCCCACCCACCTCATGCAGCAGCGCCTGCCATCATTTCCTGGAATCTTTCTTCCCAGCCTGTCTGCATTTGACTCCTATTAAATCTTACCTGTTGTATAGACACCATGTGTGATGCTTAATTTTATGTGAACTTGGCTGCACCCAGATACTTGGTCAAACATTATCCTGGATGTTTCTGTAAAGGTGTTTTTCAGACAAGATTAACATTTAAATCGGTGGACTCTGAATAAAGCCTTATCCAATCAATTGAAGGCCTTGTGAGAACAAAGACTGACCTCCCCTGAGCAAGAAGGAATTGTGCCAGCAGGCTGCCTGGGGACTCAAACTGCACCTCCTCCCAGGTCTCCAGCCCACCAGCCTGCAGACTTTGGATTTATCAAACCCTCATAATCATGCAAGCCAATCCCTTAAAATGAACCTCTCATATATACACACATCCTGTTGGTTCTGTTTCTCTCAAGAACCCTGACTAATGCACCATGATAATGTCTCCCTGCTCTGAACACCTGTACCACTCAGCTGCCATCACAGACCCAGAAGATGTTAGGGCTGGAAGGAACCTCTGTGACCACATGGCCCTTCCGAGCCCTACAAAGGAGAGGCCACACAAGACCAGTTCCTAAGCTGACCAGCACCTGAACAGCTGGGAAAGGCAAATTGTGGGGCTTTTTCTCCCTCAGGAGGAGTCCTGCAAATATAACACTAATCATGGCTGATGTTCAAGTCCTATCTGAAGACAGGGGCCTGGATTTTGGAGACCTGCTACTTCCTTTCAATTACCCAGAAGTGTACACATGTAGACAGTTATCTTTGCTGACATCCTTTGTGTGTTATGCTGTTTTTAGTCCTCAAAGCATCTATGAAGGGCCAGCCCGTGGCTCACTTGGTAGAGTGCGGTGCTGATAACACCAAGGCCATGGGTTCGGATCCCATATAGGGATGGCCGGTTCGCTCACTGGGTGAGTGTGGTGCTGACAACACCAAGTCAAGGGTTGGGATCCCCTTACTGGTCATCTTTTAAGAAAAAAAAAAAAAAAGCATCTATGAAGACTTCCCTAACTATACACTCTTCCTCCCCTGTCACCTCCCCAAACAGAGAATTAAGCTCTGCTCCAATATCGTATTATACATATCTCAAGCTTGCCCAGACACTCCAGCAACTTATTATAAAGAAATGCATGTGAGCAATCTGGATTTACTCATCCTTCCTCTGACTGGATGCTTCAGGAATTCTGGAAGTAGGACACAATTGCTCTCAAAGGCTGCCTTACATGAGTTCCTTCCTCACCTAACTTTACTGCTACCCAGCGGAAGGACAGACATGGTATATGATTAAAAGAAAAGGAGTTTACTTAGCAGCAGGAAGAAATCATCCATGCTTAACAATGACTGTTAAAGCATGCCAGACAGCTTTGGGGAGAACAGCCATTGAACTGGTTGACTTCTAGAACTATCCATGGCATTTACTGGACTGGACAGTGTCCCCTTCCAGGTTATTCGTTCCATATGGATAAAGGGTCTTGCCTGTTTGGCTCAGGAGAACATGGCCTATACCCTGGGAGTGTCACCCCACTCCCCATGCCCGACAGTGAAGCCATTAACTAGCCTCATAGCGCTAATGGGTTTGATGGTCTCAGTTGCCAGTGGAGCAGAGTATGACATATAGAGGCTACCCTTTGGGATCGGGGGCAGACTTGAGAGGTAGGAGTTCAGTTGTTTAAGAATGATTCCCTGCAAAGCTCCATGGGAACCAGCTACGGCTGAGAGCTTAAGGCTTTCCACTTCCCTGTGCCATGTCAGATAGAGTACAACTGCAAATCCCGGACCCGAGGCCTCTGGTCCAGAGGAGGGCCAGGACTGGTGCTCACCCAACTGTGAATGTTGAGTTGGCATAATAAAGCTGGAGCCAAGGTCCTGCCAGACTATATCATGCTTCAGCCCCCAAATCACTCCAAGGAGGGGTGAGTGCTTCCTACATCATGCAGCTTCAAAGTGCTGCAGTCCAAGTGTTGGGGGCCTCTCCTGGAGCCGGAAGCTGCATGTTCACTAGACGGTCACACTGCCCTGGAATGCAACGGGCAGCGGGCGGCCTCCACCTCTGCTACTACCCCTGACTCCAGTTGTTGTTCCCCAATCAACACTGCTCCAGCAGGAATTTTTTAAAAAAAGAACTACCGCTAAGCAAGTAGATTTGCCTACTTTGAGATTTGAACCAATCCACAGCTTGAAGTGTTGCTTCGAGGAATACTATAAAGTTCTCGGTCATCCTGTTTTCTGGAACTCACCTTCAGACAGGGCTGACATCCATTAGGCACAACAGCCACAGTGCCTAGGACCCATGATACTTACAGAGACCCATGAAAATGTTTTAATTTATTTTAAAATCAGAAGAAAATAAAGTTTTAGGTCAAAGAAAACATTTTAATATATAGTAACATATGCATCTTTCAACCAACATGATCATAAAATATAATTTTTAACTTTTTTATGGAGGAAGGGGCCCATGAAGAGAAGAGTGCCTAGGCTCCCCAAAAGTCATAATGTGGCCCTGAATTCAGAGAGGGATTCGCAGCTGAGAGATGTAAAGTTCTCGAGTCAAGATGGTGCAGGGTCTCATTGCTCATCACCACATGATCATGGGGAAGGTCCTCTGATAATTGTGGCAGTGACAGTTTCCTGTTGGTGGTTGTGAAGTGCTGGAGTTCTAAGCCCCTGAGAACCCAGTGAGGATTCTGGGCCCCCACCTGCACTTGTATCTCACTTGGCTGTTGGGTCACTGTCTCTGGGGAGTTCATGGTCAGCTCTCCAGAAGCACGCTTCCAACAGCCCAGAGCAAAAGCTCTACCACCACTGCACAGGCTGGATGAGCTCACCAGCCAGGCCAGCCCAGCACAGGCAAGGCCCACTGGGAGATTTTGCCGACAGGCTTAGACACAAAAACCCCTGCAGAGGTGCCAGAGGCCAATGCTCTGCTCTGCTAGCAAGATGTGGGCTGTAATTTCTGGGGAGGAAAAAAAAAAGCCCAGTTTTAAGGCTGTACAGTCCTAATCTAATAAGGGAGTCCAGGTCACCTGAGCCATATCAATGGCCTTAACTTTTACATACCAGATGGTGAATTGAGACGTCCTGGAATTTACTCCAAAGGTAGAAGTAACATTTTTGTTATTCAACCCAATTATCCGAACCCGGAGGCCCCTACCAGCAATGTTAGCAACTGTGGGTAGAAGTAGGATGAGGATTCTGGAGACGTGTGCAGAGCAAGTACCGCAGTTAAGCAGCAAGCAAATCCCATGCCTGCCAAGCTTCTCAAGAGGAGGCCCAGCAGAGGCCTCAACAACATCCCTGCAGGAGAGGTTCTGGTCTGAGCTCAGAGCCATTGCTGAAGTCCTGGAGTTGTATGGCTCCAGGAGGAGCCCCTTTCTAGAGTCCCACCTTCCACAACAGTGCTAACCACACATCAATACAACGTACACAAGCTCTGCACTCTCAGCACAGCTGCTATCTGACACAGAATAATACCATTCATGTGTTACCTGACTAGGCCCTGCATCTTTGATGATGTGTCCTGTCCTCCTGGGATTAGGAACACCAGTCTAGGTGTACCTATCCCCCAAATGGCAAGAGCCTGTACTTCGAGAAGCTCCTCAATTTCTACACCAATTTGCTTCCAGAAAACACAGCTACTGATACCTCTTCACCTCCTGGAAAAGCCCTGTCAATGGCAAGAGCCTGTACTTCGAGAAGCTCCTCAATTTCTACACCAATTTGCTTCCAGAAAACGCAGCTACTGATACCTCTTCACCTCCTGGAAAAGCCCTGTCTGTTCAGGCTTCAGCCAGCCACCTCCAGCCAGACCCAGGATAAAGAAGGCCTTCTGGAGACTGCTCTGCCTGCCCCAATTCCCCTATCATCTTTCACCAAGCTGCTCTTTGGAAGGAGTGATGCACCTGGGCTGGGGACAGGGCCCTCCTGCCTCTAACCGAGGCCTGGGGCCTGTATGGCATTGCCATGTTAACTCAGCATGGCTCTCCAGGGTGATTTGACAGAGCGTAACCTTTAGAAGCATCTGCAGCAAGCCATCTGCTGTGGATTTTTCAGCTATGCCCTCTGAGGATTCACCAGTGCTGCCAAGTCATAGTGATTCTTTCTGGACACAGCAGCTGCTAAAGTGGGTCACCTTGTATTTCTATAGCATTTCTATGGCAGGAGACAGCCTGGCAAAAGGGAACCTACTTCAAAGTTAGTGATCGGGATTGTTGTAGGCTGCTGGAGTGACTCGGGAAGAGGAAGTATCCAAGAGGGCACTTACACAATAAAGGCTGTTTTGCAGATAGTCTTGACTATTTTGAGGCCACCTAACCCAACCTAAATACCTACAGAAAGTAAAACAGGGGAGTTCCTTGGAAGTCTAAGGCTTCTCCGCATATATGAAAAAATCAAATTAAAAGATAATACAAATTTTTCCATGAACTTTTTAAAGTACCCTCTCATATGTAGAGAAGAATAGTTAGGATGCCTCAAAGAAGCCAACCTATTCCTAACTAGTGCCCTTGAGCTAGAGGGAGAAATAAGGCACAAAATGTGGAAATGAAAGGGTAGCCTGTTTGGCATCCCTTGCCAGGATTTAGGGGCTTCTGCGCCCTCTTCTAAGGGTAACAATGACACTGAACACAGAGGCCCCTCCTCATAGAGTCATCTTGATGGTTCCATGAAGTTCCTTAACCTTTAATAAGCAGGCTCAGCCTCCTCCATCAAAGAGCATGTGATCCAGTTCCACTAAGAATCCCTGTACTCTCTAATGCCATGTGGTGATTGAAACAGGCAGATTCTGCATGCCTGCAGTGCCAATGGAGCCATCCAGCCTCGGCAGCTGCAGAGATGGGCCTGCTGGGGCCTGGTGAGATTTGCATGGCTTGGCAGCCTCAACTCAGGCCCGAGTGCCTGACCAGGGGCTGGTTCTGTGCAGTGGACAACTCCACGTGTAAGTGAACAGGCATGGTGATGGGGACAGGGTGTGTCACTCAGGCAGCAGTCATGTATGTGATGTGTTGGTCTGAATGTCCTTAAACTTGTTCTTTTCCCCTCCATCCCTGATGAGCTCACCCTTAGCCATGTCTCCAGCATCATGAAATCAGAGACAACACCCAAATCTTCAGTTCTGATCTCTCCTCCTCTAAAGATCCTGTGTCTGACTGCCTGTTGGGTGTCTCCAGGGCACCTCCCCCTCCAAAGCCTGACCCCACACCAAGGCTTCATCCCTTGGCTAAGGCCCCACCAAACACCGAGACACCGTGTTAGAAGGCTGGTCTGGGGGCCGGCCCGGTGGCGCACTGCTACAGTGTGCCGCTTGGAGCGCGGCGGCGCTCCTGCCGAGGGTTCAGATCCCACATGCAGACCGGTTCCCACTCACTGGCTGAGCGAGGTGCAGGTGCGACGCCGAGGGTGGCGGTCCCATTGCCGTTCCTGGTCCGGTGCGGGCACGACACTGAGGGTTGCGATCCGTTCCCGGACACGAGAAAAGACAAAAAAAAAAAAGAAAAAGAAAACTATAGGCTGATGTCCTTGATGAATATAAATGCAAAAATCCTCAATAAAATACTTGCTAACAGAATACAGCAACACATACAGAAAATTATCCCCCATGATCAAGTGGGATTCATCCCAGGGATGCAAGTTTGGTTCAACATATGCAAATCAATAAACGTGATATACCACATGAATAAAAGCAAAGACAAAAAAACACATGATCATCTCTATTGATGCTGAAAAAACATTTGACAAAATTCAACATCCTTTTGTGATAAACGGCGCGACACTGAGGGTTGCGATCCGTTGCCGATCACGAAAAAAGACAAAAAGGAAAAAAAAAAAAAAGAAGGCTGGTCTGTGTTCTGCACACCTCCCTTCTCCTGCCTGCCACATCTGTGTAATCAAATGATTAACAGTTGGAGCCAAAAGTCGTACAGCACTCACTACATGCCGGTTACGTTAGCACGTATAACCCTCACAATAACTGTGCAAGACAGGCACAATTATAATCCCCATTTTGCAGATGTGGAAACTGAGGCACAGAAAATTCCCCAAAGACACACAGCTAAGTGGCAGAGCCAGAATTCAAACCCGGTGGTCTGGTTCCAGGTCTTACCACTTCTCTGCTGCTTCTGGTTCTTGGGTATCTCTGTGAGATCCCCACATACTTCTCCCCTGTACCTCTCACCAGGACCTTCATAACAGCTTCCTCACTGCCCCAGCCTCCCGGATTCAGCACATCCCTGCAGCCAGAATGGTGTCACTCAAATGCAAATGTGATCATGCTGTGCACCTGGCTCAAAGTCTTGCAGTGGCTCTTAGCTATCACAGGAGACACCCAAACTGCTCCTGAGGCCCAGAAGCCTTCATGACTGGCTTCTGCTGAGCTCTGTGGCCCTCATACCACACTCCCTGGTGTGTCCTTATGCTCTCGGCTGGCTGAGCGCCTGAGCACAGTGCTTCTGCTCATGTTTCTGTCCCCAGGATGCTCACCCCTGCCTCCATCATCTGCCCGGTGAATATCTACATCTCTGTTGAGCGTAAACTTAGAAGCCATCTCCTCTCCAGAGCCTCATCTGTCCTTTCCAGGTGGAGGTACAGGTTTCTAATTCGGCATGCACGTCTTTCCTCTCCTACACCACAGCCCACAGAATTGAGTATCTGTTTGCCTGTCTTTCTCCCTGGAGACTGTGACTTCCATCCCCCCAGGGAGCACAGAGCATATTTCATTCATCTTGTATCTCAGTGCCTGACACTCAGTAGGCCCTAGAGCCTCATCTGTCCTTTCCAGGTGGAGGTACAGGTTTCTAATTCGGCATGCACGTCTTTCCTCTCCTACACCACAGCCCACAGAATTGAGTATCTGTTTGCCTGTCTTTCTCCCTGGAGACTGTGACTTCCATCCCCCCAGGGAGCACAGAGCATATTTCATTCATCTTGTATCTCAGTGCCTGACACTCAGTAGGCCCTCAATAAGGATGTGTTGACTAAATAATCAAAGCAGCTACCTCTCTCTCTCTCTCTCTCTCTCTCACACACACACACAAGGAAGGAGTAAACAGCAGCACTTTGGCTAGATCCCACCTCTTCCTGCTGCCAACCCTTCCCTGCCACGGCCCTCCCAGGACACCCTGGCCTGGGCCTCACTCACCGGCTGCCCTGGGCAATGGTGGGCACGATGTCATGGCTGGCACGGAGGGGCCGGGTCCTGGCCTTCATGCGGGCATGCTGAAGCAGATGCTTGGCTTCCTCATGCCTGGAGCTCAGCACAGGCTCCGGCTTGGGACCAAAGGTTCTACAGGGTGACACACAGGCCAGCGCGGGTAGGGGAGGGATTAGAAGAAAATAACACGGATTAGGAGGGCTTTAACAGTGTCGAGCACCAGCTTTGCCAGAACAAGGCCTGAATGTGCATCTTTCTCTTCCAGCTCCCAGAGAGAGGGTACACAGCCTAGGGCCTGCAAAATGTCCCTGAGTGCCTCTGGCCAGGGCTCGGAGCTGGCTCAGCCTTGGACATCTGCTCAGTGACTGGAGGCAGAGACCCCAGGAGGATCTAGAAAAGGGTAGGGGAGTCTCCAGGTTCTTCTATTGTTCCTTCCCTGGGCAGACAGTGGGAGTTCTCGGGAGGAGGGGGGAGAAAGGGGCCTGGGGTTGTCAGGCTGGGTCTGTGCCCAGACAGATGGTCTTTCCATGCGTCACCTCTCTTTCCTTCTGTCTCCCTGCACCCACACACACCACCCTGAACTCCCACCGCAGACACACGGAATCAGGGCTCTGCCCATCACACTCTGCTCCTTTGGGGTAATGACATTTTTATAATCCTGGTGTTTTCTTTCCTTAGTCCCAATCCAAACCTGTCATGCATCAGCTCAGGGCTCGTAGGCTCAGGGCTGAGAGAAATTAAGCTGGGCCCAAACCAAGTCAGCAAATGGCTCGATTTTCATAATAATAAGGGTCCTCTACCAGCCCTCACCACCACCAGATGTGCTGCCTGCCTGGCCAGTCCAGAGCTGCAGAAAATGACAGCAACCTTTTTTCAAAGCTGTCTCCCAGATGGTGACATACAGCCTGCACCGGGTTACAGCAATAACAGCCACCCACAACCTCCCACTGACAAGACATTTTTCCCTACAGAGCTCACTCTCCCCAGCCAGGCTGGCTGAGGGCAGGTGTTCTATCCACTTGACAGATGAAGGTGTCCAGAGCAGAGAGGAACGCTGGCACATTGCTCAAAGTCGAACACCAACTGAGAGCAGAGCAGACAACGGCCAGCCCCACTGCCTCCAGCAGCATCTGACATCTTCGGTTCTCTCCCCTTCTTGGGTCCCAGGGCAGTCCAAGGATGTCTGTGGCTGGGGTCAGACACACTCTGTGATGTCACTTCTGCATTCCCAGTGGCTGCCCCATCCTCACTGTCCTTAACAGGGAGGTACCTCAGAAAGAACTAAGACAGGGAGAGGTTCAGCAGGCCCAGATCTCCGAACTGCAGCCCATCCATCCCACCCCATATGCCATGTGGGAAAAGGGGCCTCATCCTGACAGGGGAAAGATACCAGAAAGTTTCCTGGATGACAGGGATGTGAGCAGAGATTGGCACACTGAGGCCTGCAGGGAGAAGGCCTCCTTGGATGTCCTTGGACAAGCTCTGAGCAGAATATGATTTTCTTTTTCCTTTTTTTCTCGTTATTTGCATCTAACCCTGCTTTGGAGCCAGGGTGCAGGGGAGGGGAGGAGAGCTGCTAGAAAAAAGGCACCATCTGTGCCTATGAACCCTGGCAGGGCCCAGGCACGGCTTTGGAACAAACAGGACTTTACTGCAGTGATGTGAACATGAATCTCCAGGTCCACTGCCCCGTGAAGCCTCTTTGGCAGGAGAGGCCTCTCTCTGCACAGCTTCCTGTGCAGGCAGCTCCGCCAACGCGGCTGAGAGCAGCTGTGCTCCCTGGGGCTCCTGCTCCGACAGCAGAGATAATGAGGTTACCAGCCCAGAGAGGAGCCCCTGCAGCCGCGGGCCTCTGGCTGCCAGCCCGCACACTCGGAGCCTTCCGGTGACAGCTGTGGTTCCCCGGCTGTCGGAGGGCATTTGTCACGAGACCTGGTGGGCAGGCAGGAGGGCCCCCAGGCAGCTGGCCAGATGCTGCCAGGATCAGTCTTGCCCCCAGGTTTTTAAGCCATTTTCCAGCTTTGCTGTTTCCTTTCTGCTCCCTCCTCTAGGAGCTGTTGCTATTTTTTTTTTTTTTCATCAGCTGCCCTGCTTCAGTTCCTGGCAGACAAAGCTGGTTTCTCCACTGATTAGAAAAGCAGGGCTTTTGAGGCGCCTGGAGGCATCCATGCAGTAACACGTGGAGTGGGTAGGAGAGTGGCAGCCACCTTCACAGACTGCAGCCAAGGTCAGCAGAGCAGGCAGCTCCTAGTTATTGTGCACCCTGCAGAGGGAGGCCCTGACCAGCCCGTCTTTCTCCCAAGAGGCAGAGACAATGCAGGTACAGTGTCGTGGATGCTGAGCCTGCCCCAGTCTAACTGCCCATCTCCCATTACCACGTTATACTGGTCCACCCAAGGGGCACCTGACCCACCCAGGCAGACAGGTTTGGCCTCTACCAAGGACACACAGGCCCAGAGCCAACTCTTTCCCATTGTGGACTATAACTCCTAATCCCAGCTCTCACAATTCCTCTGGAAATTTCCTGGAAGGGTTGGGGAGGTCAATGCTTGTCCAGGCAAAGGTGATTCCCACCTAAGAATAGACAGCTTTTGCCACTGTCTTGAAAGCTTGTACTTCTGGGGCTCATTAGCTCAGTGTAGGGCATAGGAATAAAGTGGCTCAGTGCTTTCCCCCCCTGGGCCTCAGTTTCCCCATCTATAAGCAGTGGGAGTTGGAGAGGGGAGAGGATTCACACTGCTACCTTGTGACAAGCTGGGTCTTTGGCCATGTAGTCTGTTGTGCCACAAGGTAGGGTATGGGATTTTAAGGTTTCTCCTTGGAGGGTTCACACCACTGATGTTTGGCCCTCAAGGACAAGCAAAGCCCAAAAGCCTACAAAGAGATGATTGTTGGGGAAAACTAGAGTTCACTAGAGTATTCTGGCCCCCTGCCTCTGCCTCTCCAACCACCGGTGTCCTGAACTGCTTCACAAGGACAAAGGGCAGCACGTGGCTCCCCTCCCCATCTGGTCTCTGCATTCGACCGGTTTCCTGGTGGAGGGATAGGCCTAGCTCTGACTTTACCTCTCGCACAGCCAGGCAGGTCAGGAGAACCACCATTTCTCTCCTAGCCAGGGAGGTCAAGGGGACAGTGGCCTTTTTCTGCAGCCATCATAATCCTGGATTAAAATAATAAGCTCCAGCAAGTCTGGGTTTAACCCTTTCATCTCTGATACATGAACTAGAGAAATAATTAAGAATATAAAGAAATCTGACATCTTCCAGATTCCAGGATCCAGCTGGTAGAGGGAAAATATATAGCGTACAGAACACATATAAACCTTTTTGCTTAGCATTTGTTCCATTTTTCTATACGTTAAAGCTTTTTGATGAGCAAGGATAGAGCTCTCTTATTGTCCCACTGTGTGCAGTCTCTCAAGCAAGGGGAAGAGGAAAAGGTATATCTGGAATTGATTCTGGACCATGTGCTCCATGAGGGCAGGGACCTTGTCCTGGACTCTAAGCAGCATGCTGGTTGCATGGGCATCTCCTTCCTAGGTCTGTGGACATTGACAGGACAAAGCCTAGAGTGGTGGTTAAGAGCCTGGTTCAGGGACAGCCTGCCAGGGTTCTAATCTCTGGAATGCCACTTCCCAGCTGTGTCACCCTGGCAGGTTACTTAGGGGTTAAGCCTCATTCTCTCATCTGCTAAATAAGGGCTCAGTTAAGATCAGTAAGGTTGATTCCCTTAAAAGAGCTTAGCACAGAGCTGAGTACCTGGTAAAATTCCATAAATGTTAGCATTTGTTATTACTATTAATTTTGTTATTAGCACCATTGTTAAATTACTCTCACCCCTCTACTAAGTGAAGGATAGAATCCCTGAACATGAACTAAAGTCACCTGCCAAAGAGCTCGCCTGTTGTCTGCTAGGGGAAGGCGTGTTTGGAAGTGATAAACCGTCTCGTAGCTAGAGACGGCTGCTGGTTTCGCTGCGGACTTTCAAAAGTCTTTGACAGGACTCCATAGAAAAGGTGATTTCAGTATAATAGGGAGCAGGGGGAGGCCAGCTGGTAGCAGAGGGAAGCTGATGCCCAGACAGTAAACAGGCCCTTCCCTCAACAGAGAAGGAAGAGTGGGGGAACAACTACAGGAGGATGCACCTTACTGAGCACCTTTAACGGGACCTGGATGGAGGCGGGCAGTGTTCCCCGAAGACACTGACTCCTGGGGAAGGCAGAGAGGCGAACAAATTCCCAGCCAGCACTGTCTGCCTCAGTACGGGACCTAGGTGGCCACAAGTGGAGGCAGGTATCTGAGACACCCCCAGACAGAGGACAGCACCTGCTCAGCTCTGGAGGGCGGGGAAGATGACTTCTTGAATTCCAGCCCAGCTCCCCACCAGATGAATGGACTTGGGTAAATTCACTTTCTCAAGCTCCTTCATTGGTAGAGATTGGGACCATGAAGAGGTTTTTGTGTGTGGTGTGTATGGTAGCGTGGCAATGATGTGGCATAGGACAATGTATCTGAAAGTTCCAGGTGGCACATGCTCCGTGGTAGGGCTTCAGTGCTAGCGTTCAGAACGCTAGACCCTATGGGAGTACCTTAGGTATTTAAAAACTTTGTTGCATGATTACATTGAATTTTTCTCTTTTTTGTTTTAGTCTTGGTGGGATTGGGAGTGGCAAGGGCTTGTCCTTTGTGCCTGTGTATCCTGGAGGGGCAGGATGGGGGCTGGTGGGGAGTAAGCAGGACAGGCAGGGGCTAAGTCACTCTTAGTTACACCCTTGCCTTGGGCTGTCCTCAGTCATCTCTTCAGTCCAGAGTGTCTCTTCTCTCATGCCCACCCCCAGGAGTCACCATGACCCCCTAATACTAGGGACCTAGGAGATCCAGAATCTGACTGGTGACTTAGAATGATCTCCAAACCCCTTCGCCAAGCTCCTTGGCAAGTGCACTAGACCACAGGGCACTGCGACAGCCCAGCACTCCTCAGGGATGAGGTCAACCTGCTATCGGGGTAGGGGGGCACAGCAAAAATAAGACTGTCTACGTCTCTCTATTTCTACTGCTTTGCCTAAAATCTAAATTCCCACCTTCCTACCATCTGTCCTGATAGCATCATCCAACTGTACCTCAGACTCTCCCAAACTTCTCCATCTGGAATTTCCTCTCCTGTTTCCATCCAGACCCTCTCAAGGCCAAAGGCAGCTCCAGCCCTGGTGAGCCTCACTTGCACTCCTTCCTGTGTGCCCCCTCCAGACACTGAGCACCCGTTCCCTGCAGATACTTGGCAGGCACTGGGGGGTCCAGAGATAAGAATGGCACAGTTGTTGCCCCTGAGGAGCTCAAAGAGAAGATACACCAGTAACAGCTATGGCTGCAGCTGGTGTAGGCAATGGGCAGTGAGAGCAAAAATGGGCAATCCCACCTGATTACACTGGTACGCACATACAGTGAGAGACTCTCCTGCTCTCAGCTCACAGGAGAGTCTCTGTGATAGAGTTATATAATAAATATGTATTTGGTCCCTGCTCCTGGTTCCTCGCACACAGCTCCTAAAACCCTTGGAATCTCTTCTGTATGCTAATGAGATGACTGGTGGCTGGGGGCCCCTGGGTCGTTTCAGGATGGGGGCTGGTCACAGGTAGACCAACGCATGATTAGAGGATTGGGACTTTCGGCACCACCCGCTAACCTCTGGGGAGGGGAGTGGGACTGAAGGCTAAGTGAATCACCAGTAGCCAGTGATTTAATCAATCATGCCTACGTAGTGAAGCCTCCATAAGAACAGGACTGGGTTCTGAGAGTTTCAGATGGCTGAACACATGGGGGATCCTGAAGGGTGGCACTCCCAAAGAGGGCATGGGGGCTCCGTGCCCCTTCCATGTGCCTTGTCCTATGCATCTCTTCCATCTGGTGTTCGTCTATATCTTTGTAACATCCTTTATAATAAATGGAAATGTAAGTAAAGTGTTTCCTTAAGTTCTGTGAGCTGTCCACTAGCAAATTAATTGAATCTAAGGAAGAAGTTGTGGGAATCCTGATTTATAGCCAGTCCATCAGAAGTGCAGGTCACAACCTGGGGCTTGCAACCAGCATCTGAAGTGGGGGCAGTCTTGTGAGACTGAGCCCTTAAACTGTCGGATCTGACGCCATCTCCAGGTAGACTGTGTCAGAATTGAACTGAATTAGAGGACACCAGGCTCGTGTCTGCTGGAGAATTGCTTGGTGTGTGGGGAAAAATCTCCATACATTTTGGTGATCAGAGGTGAAATGTTCTGTGCTGTGCTGAGTATGTGAGAGTAGAAAAAACACTTTGACTTTTTTTCCTACCTCAAAGAGTCGCGGGCGCAACACTGAGGGTTGCAATCCTGTTGCCGGTCCCCGGTACGGGCGCGACACTGAGGGTTGCGATCCGGTTACCAGTCAGTAAAAAAGACAAAAAGGAAAAAAAAAAAAGGCCTCACCTCTCAATGCTGCTACAGTTGCAACTATATATATATATATATATAAATTTTTAGAGGCCTGAGATTTTCTCACAGCTGTGGGCCTGACCACTCTAGCCACAGGCCAGGCCTCTGAAATGCTTTAGAGCTGCTTGCCTTTAAATCAGAGTCTACAAACTTCCTGAGGGCAGGGGGGTTTGACCTCTGCAATCCCAACAGAAGCCTGAAAATTGGGACCCACTGAAGCCTGAGGAGCTGGGGTCTGGCACTGTGCTCTCTCCTCACGAACACACGCCAGGCTTGCTGAAGGGCTTCCTAAAGGGGAGGAGGAAAATAAACTACCTAGGAAATCCTCTGCACTTCCTTTGTCACTGTAGGGCAAATAAAACAAAACCCTGGAGACCTTTTCCTCTCCATTTTTCCCACAGCAGATCAATAACCAAAGTCCCTGCAGACGCGTTTCAGGGTCCGGGGCCTCCCAGAGCACACACAGAAAGTCCCGATTTGAAGCAGAGCGGAGGAAGTCACGCAGCTGCCTCTCAGTCAAGACTGCTGGGAAGGCCTCGGGCCTCGGGGCTGCCCTGGACACTGCAGCCTGACGCAGGGCTTTCACGGCCCCAAGTCCTTTTGGTGTGGGGTCTGGAGCGAGCATTGCATTGATGGCTACTCCTCTGGTTTCACATACTTTTCACTCATGCTGGGTTAATTTGGGATCCTACAGCAATCTGTAATCCCCATATGTCTCTCGAGCCTCAAGGAAAGGAAGAGGCCCAGCTGGTCATGACCATTTTACAGAGAAGTAGAATTCTGGATCCAGAGCCCCAGGGCAAGAGTGACGGGACAACCACAGGCTGCTAAGAATGGGTGAGGCCCCACTTCCCTTCCCTCCCTCTCCTCTCTCTAATGAGTACATCCCAGGCACTGCCCCTGCCCTGACTGCCCTCTCTGAAGCCCTACCTCTCACCTCCTCCTCTCCCCCAAATCAAAACCCCATTTCCTGAGTCATCTCAACACTGACGTAGCAGAGAGACAAGCTCATCCTGCGGAGTCTGTCTCCTACAAATCTTTGCCCATGCCTGCGACTGGACCAGGCTGGGAGAGGCAGACGGCCCAGATCCCTAGCCCACAGGGGCCTGCGGGGCATGAGGACAGCTCACAGCAGTGCAGCCTCACGGTGACAGCACAGACCTTGGAGCCTGCAGCCCTGAGTGCGAATCCTGACTCCAGCACTTAGTAGCTATATGACCCTGGGCAAGTTACTAAACCTCCCCAGAGAGATCTCTTTGTCAGCGAAATGGGAGCAGTAAAAAAAAAAGCTTGTTATTAGGATCAAATGAGAAAGCAGGAGCAGCACTGAGCACAGCCCCCAGCACATAAGGAGAACTCGACCCCAGCAGCTGCCCGCGTGGGTGTCTGGCTGGCCACTGGGAGGCACCGGTCCTCTCACGCTGAGCCTCCTCCGCCCCTCAGTAGAGGGCGACAACCCCAGGGTTGGGGATGGAGGTCTCCTCCGCATTTGACCTTCGGCATTTACGGTCCTGCATCTTCAGTGGCTCGTCTCCATGGCTGACTCCCTGTGACAACCCTGCAACCCCAACCACTGTCTCAGGCCCTGTAGTCACTGTCATCTCATGAGCTTCTCATCTTATTACCATGCAGAGCAGTAACAATTATGGACATTGTTAAATCCATGTTGGGCTAACTTGGTCATAAGAGTTATTTGACAGCAACACTGAACCGCATGGATGCTGAGTTTGACTGAAGTGAAGCGGGACCACTTATTATATACACACATACACATCATACAACGCACATGCACGCACACCCCACCTGAGCTCTAAAATGCAGCAGACGCCTGCAGATGGCCTGGCAGGTTAAACAGTAGCCCGAAATCCCAGCTCTAAGGATTCTACACAATGCCATCTCCTCACAGGACTAAGTGAGAGGCCCTCCCTACCCCATGTTGAGGTTCTCCTCCTTTAAAATGAGTGGGTTTTATTACTTACTATCCAACGTGCAAGTCAGGGGCTTCGGCTCCTCCTTTCAATAGTTACCTCTGGACAAATTCCCCAGGGACTGCATCTTCCTGCTGGGCCTTCCTCCCATCCAGGTAAGAAAGTGCAGGAGGGGGCAGGGAGAGGAGGCACCATCTCTGCAGGACGCAGGACAAGGTGCATCTGAGGCCATGCTCCTCAACACTGTGATAGAGCCAGGGGAGGACGAGCCCAGAGACTTTATATGGTGGCCATGGAGGCGGGAGGAGAGACCCTTGGCATAAGAACCCTGGAGATTCCAAATCATAAAAAAAGAGGAGGGATGCAGGAGCCGGGCACCCCCCTCTCCACCAGACCCTTACAGCTGAGCAGAAGCCAAATCGATTTGCCTGAATTTGGGCAGCCCTTGCTTTGTCAAAGCAGGGTGTAGGGCTGGGGGGCTGCTATAGTCTAGATTTCTGTGCCCCTCCCAATTCATATGTTGAACCCTAACCGCCAATGTAATGATATTGGGGGTGATCAGGTCATGAGGGTAGAGATCTCCTGAACAGGATTAATGCCTTTACAGAAGAGACTCCGGAGAAGTCTATGAACCAGAAAATGGCCCTTACCAGACACTGAATCTGCTGACACCTTGATTTTGGACTTCCCAGTCTCCAGAACTGTGAGAAATAAATTTCTGGTGTTTATAAGCCACACAGTCTGTGGTATTTTGTTATAGGAGCCTGAACGGACTGAGACAGAGCCCTGTTCACATTTTTCTGGATGGCAGGTCAGACTAAGTGGAACTTAGGCAGGGAGCAGCCCGACAAGAGATCAACAATGCTGACCTCTGCCCTCAGTAGACAACACGAGACCCCACAGAGCCTGACATCACTGTACAGATGGGGAATGGGAGCCACTCAGCCTCCGGGGCCCAGCAAAAACAGAGGCTGAGGCCAGTCTCTGTGCAGGCACCATGCAGCCCGGGTCCGCAGAGGCCCCACCCCTACCCTGAGAGTGTCCTTCTCACCCTGTCTGGCCAAGGACACTGGCTGTGTCCCACTGCCGCTCCCCAGACAGGCGGCCCCACTGCCCTGCCACACCCCAGGCGTCCAGCTTCCCCCAAACATTTGTGGACAGCCTACAGCAAAGTCTGTGGGATGTCATGATGAGGTAGGAAGTGAAATCCTGACATAATCCAAGCACATTCTCTCTTGATTGGAAAAGGAATTGGAGTAAAATCTTTCCATTCCTATACTTTCCCCAAGGATGTCCACATGCATTATCTGTTTCAGCCTCAGAACAGTCCTGTGAAGTAAGCCAGGCAGATGCTGTTCCCCTCACTTTAAAGATAAAGACACAGAGGCCTGGGCAGGAGAAATGGCTCCCAAGGACATGGAGCAGGTAGTTGGCAATGCTGTTTGCACTACACCTCTGTGCCCCAGTAGTTTTGCTCAAGTAGCAGGTAGGCACCAGCCTGGGGCTCTGGGGGTGGCTGGCGCTTTCTACGAGGTCTCAGGGATGACAGTCACTGTCTGCTGTTGCAGGAGTTTGCCTGCCCTCTTGCTTTTGCGAGGTCTCCTACTGTCCTGACACTGAGTAGGTGGAGGGACAATGGTGGGGAGGGAAAGAGAATATGGGCTCTGAGCTCTTACCTGTTCTGGTCTGAGTCCTGCAGGGAGACGCCCAAGTCCCAGTCCATGTCCCCCGCTGGTTGCTCTAGGACCCAGAACAGAAGCAGAGATCAGGGAAGAGCTAGAAACTAGGCTCTCAGCAGCCACATAGCAAGCATTGCATCGAGAAGAAAGTTTTCTCCAGAAGCAATTTACTCCCAGATCCAACCGCTTGCGTGTATCTTGGCCTGAGAAGAGGTGGTAGGGCCTCTGACAGTGACTGCTGGTGGGCATGGCCATAGGCCGAGAGGACCACATGCCTCCTCTCAGGTGGGGATGATGAGTTTTGGGAGTGAGAAGAAAGGGAAAGAAGGCATCTTCTCCAGTCTGAACACTTGTACATCCCAGTAATGCTACCACCTGAGCTCAGCCCAGCTGACAGGACGCTCAGCCTCTCTGTAGGGAGGGGTTCTTGTCTGCTTGCCCCACCAAGAGGGCGATGAGGTCTCCTGGGGGTGAGGGCATGCCACTGAAGGAAGCCACACACGAAGCCACTCTGGAAAGGGCTGCAAGCTACAGGAGAGAAGTCATGGTAGCCTCTACCCCCAAGCACAGCCTCCCGTTGGTCTGGATGGTCATGGGGGTCTTTAGCAGACAGGGCTGCCCCTGAGGTGGTAAAGAATCTATGTCAAAGCCAAGAATAAGAGGACATCTGATGGTTTGGTGACAGGCAACGGTGCTCACAGGGAGTGCTCTCCCTCCTTTCCTGCCCCACCTCTTCCATGGGTACCCCCTTCCCTTTTTCCTCCAGCAGGACTCCCTCCTGCTGCCCCCACCCAGACCTGCGGAGTGAGCCTCACCTGGTGCAGCTCTGTCCCAGGACGGAGTCCAGGCTGGGCTGCCCACCTTGGTGGGGCTCTGTCTCGAAATATTCAGCATCTCCTGCAGCAGCACGCGATTCCTCTCGACCCGGTCAGACAGGGACAGGGCGTTGCCCCCAGTGCCCAGAGCCCCCAGGTCTCCAGCTCTCCACAGCACCCCCAGCACAGGTGTCCTGGGGACAAAGTCCTCTTCGGAGGTCAGGGATGCACTGTCCAGATCTCCCCCTGTGACCAGACCATCTTGAACGGGGTACGGCCTTCCTTTCCTCAGGCTGGGCATATGGGGGATTCCGCTGCTAGGCCCAGGGCCCCCAGGCCGGCCTGGAGTAACTCTGGGGATGGCGCTCTCTTGCACAGAGCCAGGCCCTGGCAGCAGACCCCTCTCATGGTCAGGCAGAGTCCACACTCCTTCTGGAGGCCATGGACTCCTCCCATTCCAGCACTCAAGCCCAGGGGTGGGCGGCCTGGGAGGTCTGGGGTCCCCAGTCCTGGCAGGGTCCTCCTCATCGACAGTGCTGTCCAGCTGACTGTTGGTCAGGTTCAGAGCATGGGAGACCACCACAGCATCTGGCAGGGATGAGCCCTCTGAGGGGGTCCCAGCTCCACCTGCTTTGACTCGTCTGCATTTGGACTTCTTGGGGGAGGACCGCTCATGGGAAGTGGGACAGGGGCTCGCCCCCTGTTGACTTGTCATCTTCTCCTTCAAAGCCCTCACCTTGGACTCCAGAACAGAGGGGCCTTGGAGCTGTGCCCTCCGTGCCCTGGGAGGCAGGGGGGCCATCTGGTTGGGTGTTCTGTCTTCCCGAGGGCAGGGCCAGGGTCTGGGGAGGTGTCCGTTATCCGGCTGTGGCTCAGGACCACTTCTCTCCACAGCTGAGGCCACCTCCATGGGGCTGGCTGTTTTGCTCCCTATCTTGGGCCCTTTGGGGGTGAAAACAGACAGAGCTCCTGAGGTCCAGGACTAGGCTAGCTCCAACAACCTCCTGGGTCCCCAGTGTGCCCTGGTGTCGAGCCCTGTTCAGACAGAGCAGGGAGTGCCCTCTAGATAATGTGAAAACACTTTGAAAAGTACAAATCAGTTATTATTGAATTTTTTTCTTCCATGTCTGAGTAGTGTTCTAGTTTCTCTATCTCCATTTTACAGATAGGCAAAATGAAGCTTCAGACAACAACTAATCCTATGCCAAATGTGGAAGTAGAGTGAAAACCAGGATTATTTCCCAATCCCTGGCCTCTTCCTTTGCTGAAGGGTGGTCTCAGTGGAGGATGTCAACGTCTGCTAATAGTCAACATGCTCTTTCTTTTCCGAGAGAAGCCGATGCGGATGATGGACCTCAGGAAGAGATACCATGCAGGATGTGACCCTCTGGTGGAAGGTGCTGCACCCCAGCCTCACCCCAGTGCACTTGCTATAGGGCCACAGCCTGGGGGTGGGCTCAAAGGAGACCATGATCCGTCACTAACTACTATGGCATCTGCTCTGAGCCAGGCAGGACTGCAAGTGCTTCTCTCCATAATCTGACATAACTCTGCAAGAATGGTATTATTATCCTCACTCTTACAGGTGGAGAAACTGAGGCACAGAGAGATTACATCACAGAGATGCTAAGGGGAGGCCCAGTTTGGAATCCAAAGCTTCTCATTCTAAGCCCAGGGCTCTCTAAAACACTTAGTGGTCACTCAACCCTGCTTCTCTTAATTCTGCAGATGAAAATGTTTGGCCCACAGAGGTTAAGTGACTTGCCAGCACTACACAGCTCCTTAGTGGCATGGCTGATGTGAATGGCTTCATAGGAAATAAAAGGGAATAGGGGGTTCTACTCATCAGGGTGTTACACGCATAAATACGTGCCAGTGTCTTAATATTTATTCTGCTCTCTGAGAAAATGCTACTTAAACATCATACAACTAGATGTGTCCCACCTGAAGTAAACTTCGTGTATAAAAATTCGTATGTGCATAAATTATAAATTAGGAGTTAATTATTCAACTCATACATTGACTGAGGATCTGCCACAGAATTCTCTTAAATGGGAAGTTCCTCTATAGCAGTTTATTACAATTCAATTTACACAGCATTTCAGGAATGTACATATTTTATAAAGCAGAATACATATAATTCAAAATGTCACAACAGTTTTATGACGAATGAACTTTAAGAACTATGTTCAGGAGAGCAATCGTGTACTCTACCGGTCAATCTAGAATGTACCAAGTTTCCCTGTGCAGCCCAGCCACCTCTTCCTCTCTTCTAAGGTCCAATCCAGAAAACAGGGAATTGGAATGTAAGGTGAGCACTTTCAGTTAGATTCAAACGACTTTTTGGTGGGTGAGCTCCAGAACAGCATTCCAGAGACGGGCCTTCTCCGGAGCCCCTAAAGAACGAGGCCCTGTCACGGGGCGCTGTGGGCAGCCTTTGGGGAGCCTGCTCTGCGCGGGGCCGTCTGCTGCTACGACCCCGGTGCTGTGTGGCTCTAACTTGGAAAAGCCGACATGAAGATGGACGTGAAGGGCGGGCCTACCCCACGACCCTTCCCGCTCTGTGGCCTCCCGGGCTCCCCCATCTGCGGGCCCGCCACCCCCGCCCGGCCTGCCCGGCCTCTCACCTCCTCCATACTCACGGAGGGCCGCCGCCGGCAGGGTCGGCCGCCGCCTGCATCCCCTCCATCCCCCGGAGAGGCGCGGCCCTCCCCTAGCCCTCTCTCCCTCCCAGCCCCGAATCCGGGCCGGAGGCAGGGCGGCCGCAGGCCTCGCCCCTCCGGGCGCGCCCGACCCGGGGCCCGGCGCAGGACCGAGGTCGGGGCAGCTGCGG